TCATTGTAAGTATTCCTGTATTTATTTCAAAGGACCTGCTTGCTGAAGTCCATATGTTTACACTTGAGAAGTATTGGTCCAAAGACAACAACCAAAGTCACTTTTTTATCCCAGCAAGCATGCTGCGTGAGTCATGAATATTGATCAGATGATCCTCACAAAATGACAAATGAGATCTACTTTATCCCAAAAAAATATATACTAAACACAATCCATTTCACATGAGAGGCAAGGTAAACAATCATATCACTATAATTCCCATCTGTAGCTCAGACAATTCAGGCGCAAAATGATACAGCAGGGAAAAATAGGTTCCAATGGGAGAATCCCAAACACAATGCTTTTGCCAGGATGGATTATTCAATCTACAAAATAGCATCTGAGCAACTCTAGGTTGTATACAACTCTAAAATGTCAATCCCAACAAAGGGAAATGACAAGCCAAGATTTATCCAGTCGACCAAAAGTAGTTGAGCAACTCTGGCAGTATGCAATACATATCTTACGTACATCTAGATACAGTACCTATATATGCGTTGTATCGTTTTTTCCCCAGATCTTATGATACATTTTGATAGAATGAACAAATGATATGTGCAATATCATTCTTTTGTATTTTTAACTCTATACAATACAACTTTTTTTTTTTTTTAATTCCCTAAGCAATGAAACAATGTCGTTTACCCTATGTTATTTTTTTATTTTTTTTGTTTGATCTCAAACAAACGAAGCTCTTGATCATCTTCTTCTCGTGCAACTCTCTTTTATTTCTCCTGCATGTCATTGTTATTCTTCTCTTTCAAACAGACAAAACCCTAGCTATATTTTGATCTCGGACAAACGATTGTATCTTTTTCGATCTCTATCAAAAACCTACATCACACAAAATGATAAGTGAGTTGAAATGGTACTTATATTACTATGAACACCATACATTTACATATGTTTAGGTATGTGTGTATAAACTTAAATTGATCGTATCTTATGATACGTGATACAGTATTTTTAAAAAACAATACACAATTTGACGACTTTCCTACCCATTTTCAAAGCTTATCAAAGCTCGGCAAGACACAATTTCGAGCAATCTTCAAGATTGAACAACTCATAATTAAATTTCCTTCCAGACAAGCATGCCATTAAGCTACTAACACATCAAACTCTAGTATGATTTGTGGTACCCAATGAAACATAACCATAGCCATAACCATAACCATACAACTTCAAAAGTACAACACCCAGGGGGGAAGGGCAAATAAAGGCCGAAAGCAATTCTTACACTACCAACAACAGCAAACAAAAAAGAAAAAAATTGACATTAGTATACTTAGAAACATAAATAAAAGACGTACAAGTATATCTGATGACGGTATATCCAGCCATTGCTGAATCATCTGAAGTAACACATTAAAATCAAATGAATACTGGGACTACTTTCATGGTATCACACAAAAACATGTTAACCCAACTTACAGAAGCCCAATGCAGCCGCAAGGAAGACGGAGTAAGAACCAGAACAGGCCATGATTCACGAATGCAAGAGGTTACAGCTATAGCCTGCAGACACAAAAAGAAATTTAAGCTCATGCATCATGTAACTAGGATAAGGTATAAAATGTTTTGTTCAACCTATATCAAAGATTGCAACAACAATCTAGGTAGCAATGAATACCTCATAAATGAAGGAAGATAGGCAAAGTTAGGAAATAATCTAGACGTATTCTCAAATACTAATTCTTTTCTTGAACCAAAAAATGATGGAGATGATTCACAAATCCTTTATGAGCATAAGGAAGATGGGTATCTTGTGTTCATTCATCTGCAGTCTTTGACAACAAGGTGAGCACTGACTCACTTGAGCTTGCAATTAACGCTAACACAAGAATTTATGAACAAGAAAGTGGAACTGGATTTTGAAATGATAACTACAGGAGTACTGTCAAAAGAGAAGTTGTCTTTTAAGTTGCTACAATCCTTTTAATCAAAATGTTTCTGAAGTATCAAAAAAATAATCATGGAGTTGGCACTTTAGAAGAAATTACAATAGAGCATAGGTTATCAATAAGAAGTGAAGTTGTAAAAGAAAAGAGTGAAGTTGTCAAAGAAAAGTAGCTAAACAAACTGATGTTGGCTCCTTTCTGTAGTAAAAATTCACATATCTGTAATAAGAAGAAGGAGCCTAAAATGGGTGGTGGTGGCCAAGTCCAAATGCCCAAGTTCAAAAATTCAAGCATGATTTTTTCACCACAAAGGGTGACCAATGCAGCCCCAGGGAAGTAATTATTTCAGTGAACATGTAGGGAATTTTGGAAAATCCAACGCTTTATTTTGTGCATCACTAATGTTCTAGTATGAGTCATTAACACTTAACAGTCCTCTGAGAGCTCAGGGTCAGTTTTTCTGAGTCTGACCCACTGAAAAGGCATTAGCAATATAGTCAGTTTTCTACTAACTTGTGATCCTATATACCTGAGTGGTTTAGAAAATTGACTTCTTTGGGCTTAAAAGAACATTGTATTGCAGGAACTTCTTCCAAAGCATATAGTCTGTCTTTGCGATGATACATCAAAAGATCATGTTTAATTCATAGCAATGTAATTGCTGCATCAGTTGAGAACTAAGCATTTTCATGCAGCAAAGCAAAGACATCCTGACTGCTAATAGCCAAACAATGCCCCATAACATATAAAAATCCATCAACGTCTTGAACAAATAAAGCTCAGGCTGAACCGCAAGCAAATCAGAATTCAAGCACAAATCAATTTGAACATAGAATATAACAATGTAGTCCTCCCTATTTAGGGTGAGTCTGTCTCTTCCTCTGTGCCTCACACCTACCCACACAAGCACACACTTTACACACACAAGACATCTTCAGAGACTAAGTGATTATGTCTCAGCATACAGACGATACCCTTTTTTTTGGGGGGTAGTGGGAGGGAGGAGGGAGACTTGGACCCTTGACCTCAAGAAAGTAAAGTCTTCACAAGGTAAGGAGTACCATTGGACCAAAGACCCATTTGTATGAGTTCATTACCTGAAGAGTCTTTCCCAATCCCATTTCATCAGCCAGAAGGACACGACTTCCATGCTGCAAAATAAATCTGAAAAGAACAAGATTGTCAATAATTCAATTGAAGTTATGGAAAAGCACAACGTTAGTACAAAGAAAAGCATGATAATCAATGCAGCACCTCACAATTGCCTAACAACAAGGACATCACATTATTGAAAAATACTCATACATACTTAACACCATCACGCTGAAAAGGCATAAGCTTTGATTCAATATTACCAGGGATCCGGTCATACCGATCTGGAGAAAAATTAGAAAAAAAAAAAAACAAAATACAACAAATAGGTAAGTCGACCTTAGTATAGAAGTAAAAAAAAAACACACACACACACACAATTAAGTGAAAAAAACTCCAAAGTAAAATGTACACATAAGTTGGATCTTCTGAATTATTACCTTGTATGTAGATTACTGTGTAGGCTTGGAAAGCCGTTTAGCTCATAATATATATTACTCTAGGTAAAAATGGTGGCTATGTGATGCGAAAAATTGAGACAAAAAACTAGCAGCACCTGTTTCATTTTAGGGTCCATAGGTAAGGTAGTTGCCAGCTATCACAAAACTAGTTAAACCTCTATAAACATAAATTCTGAAAATGTGTAAATAGACATTTCTCTTAAGCAGTGACTGCACCTATTCCTGCATCCAGATGTTCCAACAAATGAGTAAGTGGTGCACATTTTGGTTGTTCGGACAAACACAGATAAAAAAATCTAGTCCAAAATATTAAACTTATGTTAGCAACTTAGAATATAGAAACACTAACACAAAAATAAAAGAAAATAATTGAAACTATGATTAGGAGAAAATTCAATATACCATAGTTAAAAGAAACAAAGCCGGTAAAAAAAAAACAATGAAAAGACAGAAAATACAAATATAAACTTTTTTACACTCGAAAATATAGAAATATAAAGCTATTGCACACAATAGAGAGGAATATTTAATAACCTTTAAAAATGAATTAAATAAGAATAAATTTTATCCAAACAACAAAAGTAGATCATTTATCGTGTAAGGATTTTGATGTTATTCTAGAAGAGAACTTGACCATGTAACATAGGATAACAATATTGCATGTACATATTCAAAATCCAAAAACTAGGAAGTGGAACTTAAAAGAAGAAAAATAATTTTATTTAAGAATAAGATGCAAAAAACCAACATGAAACTTAGAAGATTAAACTAATGAATGTGAATAAAATAGTTGAATAAATTAAACCAACTTCAATAGAGGTTCTTTGAGAATTGAAATGTAATGGCCCATTAGAAAATAAACTTGGTGGTGCAATAATAAAGTCCAAACTATAATATAAACAAAAGGAAAGTGCTATAAAACAAAAAACTAAAAACAAAGAAAGTGTTGAACCATATAAGCTTGCAAACCAAGAAAGTTAAACAGAGATAAACAAGACTAAGGAGAAAGCATAAGAGGATCTTTATTCTAAATCAGATGCAAAGGATTGAGATACAACAAATGTATTCGGAGCGAGGATTCAAGGAACAAATGTAGGACTAATTAATTTTGCATGGAATGATAAAAAGATGTAATAGCTTTTGGTGCACAATTACAGAATTGGATTTAGATATTTTGCTCCAAAGAATTGTAACATAGCTTTAACGAGGTGCATTGAGTTGACTTGACTTGTAAAAACAAAAACCTGACAAAAGAATGGTGTAGGATACTGATATCAACTAAATGCAGATCCATTTTGTTATATTATAGGTCAAAGGTTAATAAAAAATAATTGCCAAAATATAAAAAACGGCTCAGTGCATGAGATTTCTGCTACTGTGAAGGTTTAGGGAGGGTAAGACATACACATCGTTAACTCCCACATGCAGAGATGTTATTTCCGTGAGCTGGAAAAAATATGTTTGTATTTATATTTGCATGTTAAATAATAGGTAAAAGAAATGCCAACAAGGCACCCCTTAGCAACAAGTAAGTATATGCAATTTATTTGAGTTGGAATATCTCCCGAAAAACCCATAAACGCGGGAACTCAACCTTGACTGCTTCAGCTTACAAGTCGACATATCCTCATCTTTGAAAAAACGCTCATTAAGTTCCATCCAAATGGACACTAACCCTCTTGCTAACAGCTTCCCTCCTCCATCTACTCCATACTTGAACGCAAGACTTATTCAACAAATTCCCAACAACGAACATAAAAGGGACCAAATCCCTCTCGCAACCGAGATGTAGCATGATAAATGGTTCAAATTAACATCCACTCCCATGCACATACAACACTAGTTGGGAAGAGTTTTCCCCTGCTCGCCCAATTATCAATAGTTATACTTATACTAGTCTCCTTGGTTGTTGTCATGCACAAAGTGCGATTTTAGAGCATACTTCAGGATGCCAAATAGACTTCTAAGGGAGCTTGGAAACATCCTCAATCCTTAGCAACATCACCTCATATTTAACAGTGATCTCCCAATTCACCACATCCCCTTCATGTAAGATACAATACACAAAGAAAAGGTTATATTCACCAAATGAAACAACAATCGTAGTATTCGAAAAATCCACACAAAAAAATTTGAGGAAACTAATTCAATAGCTTACGAGTATGCATGCATAACTTGACTTTCATATTATTTATGGAAAAAGGTTGCAAAACAATCATGCTTTGACAATTCTAAATCGTTAGTACGACGTTTAAAATATACGCACAGTTCCCACTTACATAAGCCCTTCGTATATATACATATATAGTTCACATGGCTTGTTGACCCATTGCTTTTGATTAGTGTACCAATCCAATATGGCCACATATCAAACACAAGTGAGTTGATGCCTTGACTTGGAGCATTGTCCAAGTCACCTTCATAGCACCTTAGGAAGAAAATCTTATCTCGGAGAATAGTTTCAGTTATCCTGGACATGAAAATGTTTTAAAAACATTTCTAAAACAAGCAAAGAATTTACAAATTTGCTTCGAAAACATTACAAAAACAACTCAAAACATTTCAAAACACTTCAAAATATAGGAGATGGTATTCCATCACCAATTAGTTTCGATTTTAATGAAAATTAAAACGCTTTGGTCACTTTGGTGAAAGCGAAATGAAATTTCAATACTTGTTAGGGCCTTGCACCTTCAATAGGAATGAGATAAAGGTATATTGCTTAGGCAAGCAAAACTATGAACTTAGCTAACCAAACCGTACCATGGCCTCCCTAGGGGGAACCAAGACCCACACACTTGAGACAGGACAGGTAACACTTAAAAGTACAGACCCTGTTGATACCAAACTCACATTAAATAAGCATTTCATGTAGGGTAAGCCAGGCTTCAGCCCTCAAGCCACTGTCGTGAACTTGTTACAACAAGGTATACATATTTAAACCTTAGATGAATACAACCTCATATACTCCCAGCACTGTAAGCCCCATTAATGAGATGATTCACAATTCTTCTAATCCCCACAACTTACCTTTGAGCATAACAAACATTCCTAATGTCTCCTTGTGTTGCATTAGCCTTCAGACCTACACTCCTGCCATCTCAACTACACGTGGCATCCTAAGTTTGGCACCTCTCCATACTCAACTTCTCGCCATCAACACATCCATTCAGTTTTGTTGTTTAAGTTTTACGTGAACCTATAATTTTTGTTATTTAATACTACTTCTATGGTAATTTTAAAAGCAAAAATGCATAGATGCTCGAAACCAATATGTACTTTGGGAAGAGATAAACTGGTAGTTTTTTGATGGGCTTATTTTCTTCCAAGGTAGGACTGAAAATGTTTGAAAATAGTAAATGATTGGAGAAGAAACTCAACAAAAGGAAAAAATAAAACAGAAGAGACTCAGTATTAACAAAAGTTCACGTGTCAAATCAATATAACATTGACAATTGCTTGCCTCAATAAAAGATTGGCACGTTTATAGAAAACAGGAGTTCTCGGAAAGTCCACTAACTTCCAAGTTTACCTTGAAGATCTGGAACAGCAGAGGCAGCAGCAATAGCACGCTGCACCAAAGGGTCCAAATGTTCAACCTAGTAGATTATGTGAAAGCAAAATAAGACAGAACACAATTAGAAAACTTCCCTGCCAATGACAAGAATCAACGATAAATTTCGGGAGCAGATTGATAAGTTGTCACATACGATGATGACAGGACTCCAATACAAAATGGTGTTGGATGATAAAGACCAATTCAAATGTAATGTACATCAATAGATTGAAGAAATCAAGAGAAAGATATACAAGTCGCACCTCAATGTTAGAGCCAGGACTTTCACTAAGAACTTTTTCTGCTGATAAGAATGATGAAAAAGGAAATATCCACAATCTGCAAATTTATAAAAACACCAATTTAAGGCTGAATGCTCAGGAAATTTCCATTAAAAGTGCAAATCAAGTAAACAAAACTCAGATTTCTTCTTTTTTCGCCTGGTGTGTGTGTGGGGTGGAAAGAGGGGGGGAGGGGGTTGTGACCTTTCTTTTGCATTCCAACCAGCTTTGGGGATCTTGCGGAAGGCTCCTACTAATACCTGTTAGAAGATGAAATCTAATATATAAGCGAAAGAAGAATGCAGATAAATTTAATGGAAGGCAGATGGTGTGAAAACCTGATCATAGGAAAATTTGGCGGCAATGTTCCCACTAGCATGTAAAAAAAATTTGACAGAGCGAATAGGCTGTTGCTTTGAGCAATCATCTTCATGGATAAAAAAAAAACCGCACACAAGCAGAAAAAACAAAATCTAGGAAATTAGCAGACCCCACAAAAGCAGAGAGAATCCAAGCATGAATGAAAAGGGGGAAGAAACTCACCAGTAACATTTGGTGCCGTTGATGCAGGCAATCTTTTAGATGGGGAAAGAGAAGTATCTACCTGATTCATGCAATAACGATTGAGAAATAGGTTAATAAACCAGTTGGCAAAACAGCAAAATTACGTGAATTAGAGACATCGACATGCCAATAATCCTAATAGTAAGCCCCTCTAGGTTATCCATTTGATGCCGCTAAAGACTCGGGTTAAATTTCATGCATCCAAATTACCAATTAGGTTTCCGAAATCACAAGAAGTGGCGATGCTCATTTGCAGAAGATGTGCTGCGCAATTTTTATACACGAATTCTGAGTCCAGGCATATATTTACATACACACACACGTACAGAACCCTAAGAAATGAAGGAAGGCCCAGTAAGTAATCAAACCCATAAACAAGCGATAATAATGATAACGAGCAAAAGCCTGACCTTGTTGTAGGGAGGACAGTGTGTGATTGGGTTGGCAGGGGGGATGAGGAGTTGACGCCGTGAAGAATGAGTAGTCGACTCATGAGATGGTTGTTGATGAGAAGGAATTGTGGATGAGGAACAAGTAGTAGAAGTAGGAGTACTAGTAGTGGCATCAAAATAAGATGAATTGCGCAGAGAGATCTGCTTGAGGGCATCTCTTTCGAGAGAGTCAAGTTCCTCGGCGCTCAAATCCCAGTCATCAAATTCCATTTCTCTCTCTCTCTCTTCTCTTTGGAGTGAATTCAAGAACTGGGTGGCCAGGCCAGATTAAAGAGGAGGGAGTTTTTGAAAGGTATTTAAAATTTGCAAGTTTTTAAAAAGGATTAATTGTAAGTTGTATCTTGAAAGATAGTTTGAATTTTAATTTATACCTTCAAAGATCAAAAATTTTAATTTTCACCCTCAAAGATAAAAATTTGTATCATGTACACCCCAAAAAATAAAAAATTCTCAAATTGCAATCTTAAATATAAAAATTTGTATCAATGTACCTAAAATTAAATTGATAAATTATACACAGATCTTTTAATACTTGTCACTTAATTATTTGGACCTCTTCATATTTAGAATATTACTCCTACATCTCATAACGTTTGTGCATGTGTAACACGTAATCCCTTTTCATTGATATTTGTTAATATAACTTTTAAAAAATATGATTTTATCTTAATAAAAAATTATAATTTCATATTACCCTTTATTTTATTGGTTCGATATACTATAAAGTTTAAAATAAAGCTTACTATTTAAATATCCAATAGAATGTAGATATTTATATAATATTTTTTTATATCCAATACAATATATTACTCAATGTGCAACCCTTTATTCTATTAGACATTCAAATAGTAAGTTTAATTTTGAACTTTAGAGTATATTAGACCTATACAATAAAGGGTAATATGAAATAATAATTTTTTATTATGATAAAATCATATTTTTTAACGGTTATATTAACAGATATTAACAAAAATAGGTTAAGTGTTACACGTGTACAAACATCATGAAATGTAAGAGTTATATTTTAAATGTGAAGGGTCCAAATAATTAAGTGACAAGCATGAGGGGATTTAGGTATAATTTATCAATTTAGTTTTATGTGCACATTGATACAAAATTCTATCTTTGAGGGTGTAAATTGAGATTTTTTATTTTTTGGGGTGCACATTTATACAAATTTTTATTTTTGATGGTACAAATTGAGATTTTTTATCTTTGATGGTGTAAATTGAGATTCAAACGATCTTTCAGGGTGTAATTTGTAACTAACCCTTTTAAAAAAGAGAAAATCCCCGACTACAAAACTCCATCATGGTAATAATAGAACAAGAACTTCACTTTAGATTTTTTTAGATTTTTCTCCCTCTCGATAGTCTAGCGGTGTATTATTGGTAGGTGGAGCAGAATCTCGATCACCATGTCAAGCATAATCTATTCGCCCCGTCAGTCATCACTCACTCGCAACCGATAACCAAAGTCAAACCACTCTCTCTCTCTCTCTCTCTCATATTTTGGACAGTCTCGGGACAAAGGAATGTCAAAGAAGGTCTAAGGAGTGGTGATGAATTGCTTTTTCAACTATCCGATCAAATTTGGCAAGCTGAAGATGCTTCCTAACACTAAAAAGAAGAGTTAGAAATGCGTCGGAGTGTTTTTCGATGTATCTCCTCCGATGGTCAAGCTAGTCTGCGAGAGATAGGAGGAAAAACACTGTATATGTTATGAGATTTAGGTTTTCGTACCTTTACTTCACATTTTTTAATACTATTTATACATTCTATGAAAGTCATCATTGCTGACCAATGGGTTCCTTTAAGGTAAGATCCTCATCCATTGACTTTTTTGGGAGGTAGCGGGCGGTGGTGCCTAGTCCTTGGGCAGAAACGCCTCCTGTCTTGCATTGGAGACCAATAAGCATTAAATGCTTAGCTCTCGAGCATTAAATGTCCTTCCTCCAAGGTCATTTGGATGGTAAAAACGTCTTATCCTCATGAGGATCATTAGATGTTCTTATGGGATGGTTGCATGCTAGCAAGGGTATTATTGTCAATTTATCCCTATTCCTGTACATTGTGCCATGTGTTTAACTCCATTTGGTTGCTGATCTTGTCCATTATGTTATTCTTACTTCATTGGGAAGGCAAATAAATGACTCATTGTCTGACTCTGACCTCAACAGATTGCAACCGTTAATAATCCGCCTTGGAGCAATGGTGACGTGTCTAAAAAATAGTCTTTCGGACCTAACCACGCAGGGGACACATGTGTCTTGACTAGAGTGATGGATGTGTCTTTGGCGCCGATGACACGTGTTGTCACTAGAGAGTTGAAGGTATCCTCGATGTCAAGGACACGTGTCTTCACCAGTATGTTGGAGTTGTCCTCGGTGTCGAGGACACGTGAGAGATCCCTATTCTTTCTCAAAAATATCCCATCAGATGGAATTAATTTCTTGGCAGTTTGATTCCTCTTTTATTTCTTATTAACATTTCTAATTTTTTTTTTTTTTTAATAGAAAACATTTCTAATTTCACCCCTCTAAAAATCTGAGAGAAAATTGGCTCTTCAAGGGGCCCAACCTCCTGCTCCAATATTTGGGTTTTGCAAAAGTAGAATACTTTTTTCATTAATAGAGTTAACTTAAATAAAAGTGGATAACTGACCCACTAAACCCAACAATTGAAATAACTGCACGATATATATAAAATATTGGGAACAGATCTCTCCCCTGGTGAACTTTGGGTGAGCCGGTTGAGTGGCCAAACACACTGCTCGAAACAGCCTACCAGGAACGGTGGTAATCTGGAACTGTAAAGGAAGATCCTGGGAAAGGAGGAACGATCCTGTACGTGCGAAAGGTATTTCCTGGGACAAAAGAGAACAAGTTAGAAGGGCGCCGGAGTGTTTTCCGGCGTATCCCCTCCGACGGTCTAGTCAGTCTTTGAATGAGAGAGAGGAAGGAGAAAACACTGAGAAGGATAGTTCGTAGTTGAGAGTTTGAGATTGCATACCCGCTTTGTCTTTTGGGAGGGGTATTTATACCTTAGAAGATCATGATTGCTGTCAGTGTGGTCAGTAGGTAATCATCAGACACAGATAGCGTGCGTAATCATTTGATGAGGAATGTCTTCTCTAATTGACTGCTCGGGGTCCCGAACAATCAATGCTGAGTCTGTCGGGACGCCGACGGTACAATATGCTCCTGTCGGGAAGGATGCAATAAATGCTCTGTAATAGGAGCATTTATTGCCTTTCATATCCGAACCTTACCGCATTGAATGCGGTCTCGTCAACAGAAGGGTGCAATTAATTGTTTGCTTTCCCAAGTCGCGTGTCAGCAACGGCATGCGGTTTGTCTGCTTCGGATGTGACATTATTTGCCACGCGTCCATCCCTTATTGGCTGTTACGTCGGTATTCCAGAACGTTCTGACATTACTTGTGTAAGAAGAGGTCATGATGACTAATCCATACTGGCATAGGCTGATGTCCAGTATGTCAGTAGCCTTATCCGGGAGTAGAGGAAGCGTCCAGGATGGAGTGACCCTCGGCGCCGAGGAAAGGCTCACCTCGGGACCAAGGGGGTGGTGTGTCCCCGAGGCACACGTGTGACCGAGGACACGTGTTTGTTGTATAACATACCGAATGTGTGATCCTATATGAGAGGTACCTCGGGGTAAAGGACGCTCTTCGCCGATGGTGCTTACATCCAGGCAACACTGTTCCAAATATCCCGAGGACACGTGTCATCATCTTAGGGCTTTTCAGAAGAGTCCCATCAACTGTCCCCCAGCCTTCGATCTTCTGACACCGAGGACACGCGTTGTAAGGAGACGAAGGGTTTTCCAACTGCCATCCGTCCTTCATTATGGCCTCGAGCAGCTTTCCCCGTCTTGGGATGTCGTGCGCATTAAATGCGCTGTTTTTTTGGTTCTCCCGCCCAATGATGACAGTTTTCCCCCCTATATAAAGGGGGTTCTTCTCCGGTTTCCTTCGTTTTGCCATTCCGATCTCTGACCCAGAATACGCCCTTTCTGATCTGCTCGCCGGAGTTTTTGTTTCCTCAGCCATCGTTGACAGCACCTTCTTTTAAAACCTCAGCCAGAAAAAACCCATTGTTGACTCCTGGTCCTTCCGGTGCGAGTCATTTTTCAAAGTTTTTCCTGAAAAAACTCCGTTTCCGACGTCTTCTGGTGAGTTTCACAACCTTCTTCTTTATCGTCCTCCTAGCCTTCTTGTTTTTCGATTTGAACAGTGGTGTCATCCGGTCGGTACGTCTTGATTTAAACCCTCGGGGAACTCCCTCGGGTTTTCGATAGAGAACACCTTTTTCTTCCCTTTCTTTTTAGAGATGCCTTGTCGTCGCCCTGTTCCCGAGAATCCATCGGCTGGTCCCTCGGGGTCAGGGAAGTACAAGGTGACAGGCGAGGCACAGATTGATAGGTTCAGGGCGAAGTATGGTATCCCTCCGAGCGTGGATGTAGTGGGCTTTAACCCTTTGTTGAACTCTCATACCTTCGGGGCCGCGGATGCCATGCCTTTTTATACCAAGGCCATCATAGAGGGTGGCATTAGGTTTCCCTTACCCCCCTGCTTCTTCAGTTTCTGTCTCGCTTCCGTCTCTTCCCCGGGCAATGCTGCCTCAACGTCTTTCGGATAATTATGGGGGTCCTAGAGCTCAATAGGCGCCTCGGGGTGAATATTGGGCTCAATGATCTTCTTTTCTGTTACTCCCTCCTAAGAGTCATGCCCCACCAACATTTCTACCTCAAAGCCAGGGACCCCTCTATGTACCTTGTAACCCATCTTCCTGACTCGGACAAAGGGTACAAGGACGACATCTTGATCTTCAAGGGATGTTGGGAGAGGGGTGTCGGTCCCGAGTACAACGACCTTTTTTGCCCTCGGGAATGGAGAACGACAAGTACGTCGGTTCCTTTGGGTCTTTTTATTTGTTTCTTGGGACTTCTCATGTTTATGACAATCTTTTTTGTTGTGCAGGTATTCCTTCTCGGGAAACAGCTCCACCCCCTCGGTCGCTGGTCAATTTTGCCGACTTAATAACGGTTTGGAGTTTTACGGGCGCCGGCGGATTTGGCCGAGCTGCCCATAATTTGCTGCACTATACCCCTGGGTATAAGAAGTTCTCACAGCTCCCTCAACCTTTCGAGCCTTCACAGTGGTCAGAGCTCTTTGATCAGGCGGCGAGGTTAGAGGTCGAGCAGAACTTGGAGGAAGACCCGGATCGGGCTTCTGAGGGAGAGGTAGAAGGAGTTGCTGAGGTCGGGGTCAGAGAGGACGTTGCTCCTTTGGACGCCGAGGTGGGGACTTCAGGAGGCGACCTGTGGCCGGATTTTCAAGTTCTCCAAACTTTGGACGCCGAAGACGCTCTCGAGGAAGCGATGTCCAACACCCCACGCATCAATTTGGGGTTTCTTAGGCAGAGGCAATCCCTCGCAGCTGGGAGAGGCCGAGGGACGACCGGCGGCACTCCGGCAGGAACCAGTTCCGCCAATTCTTCGAGGGCTCCTGGTCAGGGTCAGGTGCGAGACCGGGATCCTCAGGTGGAAGAAGAGAGGAGGGTAAAGCATCGGCATGACGGCCTCAGCCGGGGACCCAGGGCATCTCCCGCTCAACCTCAAAGCGGGAGGGATCGTGGGTTACCGCCTGCTCCCCCTCAACAGCAACAACAACAGCAGCCCCGACAACAGCAACAGCAGCAGCAGCAGCAGCAAACCCCTCCTCCTGTTCCGTCTCGGGGGGAGGCCGCAGAGTGGAATCCTCGAGCCACTGATCACATGAACAGAGTGATCAGGGTCGATGATTCTATTATGTCAGATCCTCATGTCGCTAATGCAGTGAGTGAGACACTGCATTTCGAGGCCGACATGGAGGCTCATAGGGTGCACATGATAAACTTTCCCACAGCTGGACAATATTCACCCTAATTCTTCTATTTGTGTGTGCTGACACATGCAGAGGTTGGAGAGGATTCTGGATACATGACAGGGTAGGGGTGTATGCTTATGGCGTCCCGTCTCCCTAGATTGATGAAACAAGTATCAGTCTGTAGAGAGAACTTTGGCTGGTGGATGAAGTTTCTTCGTATTCTGGGTAGAAGTGGATGAATTGGTTGCTCTGCGTTTTGATTGATGGTTGTTAAGAGCCTTATTATTATTACTATAATTATGTTTTGCAGGCATCCCAATCACAAATAAATGTTGCTTGCTGCGATTGAAGACTTAATCAAACAAAAATACAATGGCCGTTGGGACTTAAATTAGGGACTGTGATGTGTAGACACAGACGTAGGTACAAACCGACGGGCAAGAAATTTCTGGCGCCAGTACGTACGTACGTACGTGCGGTGCAGCCTGACTACTTTTTCCTACATACGGACATTTTCCAAGGAAACTGCGTGGTTTCTTCCTCAACTAAACTGATGGAAAAGCCTAAAAAATATCACTTCACTTGATAACATTGATTATGCCCACGTCCCTTAGCTTACACAACTGTCGGGCAAAATTTGGAGTTATTAGCTTATCCTTTTAACTCCAACACCCCCTGAACGTATGTGCTATCTATCTATATATATATATATATATATATTGCTCGCTTTTCTTTTGTATTCACCCAGGGACTTGCGCTTCTCGGACCCTCTCAGCCTCGACCTCTCTCCAGCATAAAAGGCTCTTAGGTACCAAGGTATGAGCTGCTCTCATCATCTTATAACCATTGTATCTTAAGACTAAAAGTATTCCCTTGTTGCCACAAATTAGGTTTTAGTTTATGTACGCTGTTCAGGCCTTGATGGGGTCTTTGGCTTGATGTCCCATCAATGAAGTATGATGCCGTCTGAGTGTCTGTTTCTGATATTCATGTGTGCCATGTGAAACTTTGAAATGGTTACAATGTATTGTGACTTGTGATCACTGAATGATATCCGCTCGTGTAAGTCCATCTAACACTACCTGCAACTCACGGCAGGGAAATCAATGGCAGTCTTTGCGGACAGGTAAAATAGAGGCATGCATAGGAAGTGAACGAAACTATCAGAGTTATATTGGATGGATCCGGCTTGTTCTGTTTTTTCGCTTACTTGAAATACTCTCTCTCTCCCTCTTATGAAACCAGAGTACTTGTGAGCATGGGGATAAAACTTCTTTTACTCACCATTTGTTTATGTGACTCCATCTGCACATTCGCTTATCATGTTTCCTCCGATGGGTTGGTGAGAATTGGTCTAAAGAGGCGGCATTTGGACATCGACAGTATAAATGCTGCAAGAATCAAAGAAGTAATGCATGCTAAAAGTCCAGCAGATATCAACAGTAATTTTGACTGTCCAAAGGAAGATTTCGTGTATCTAAAGAATTATCTGGACACCCAATATTATGGAGAGATTGGTATCGGTTCTCCCCCGCAGCATTTTTCTGTTGTTTTTGATACTGGCAGTTCCAATCTTTGGGTCCCATCTTCCAAATGTTATTTTTCTGTAAGTTCTTTGAATTCAAAATGTTAAAACCATTTCTTCGTGCATGAATTTACATCATAAAGCGATACATCTTGCAGATTGCTTGCTACATACATAACAAGTACAGATCCAGGCTATCCAGTACGTACACAAAAATTGGTAATTAGCCCACACATTAAGTTTGGAACTCACTCTTTTACCTTTTCATGAGCAATATACATATGCTGATGTATACGCACTGTAGCTTGTTGACATTTTGTTCAATGCAGTCCTAATCAGATTTATATTGGCCTTTTATGCAGGAAAATCTTGCAAAATCCCTTATGGCTCTGGATCTATACATGGCTTCTTCAGCCAAGATAATACGGAAGTTGGAGATATTGTCATCAGGGATCAAGTGGGTACTTGTTTGCATTCAGTTCATGTTCTATAGGTCTTTGCATTAAGGACACAGTGAGTAAAAGTTACTGTCCTTCAGGTGTTTGCTGAGGTTTCAAGGGAAGGATTTTTTACATTCTTGCTTGCGCGGTTTGATGGCATACTTGGCCTTGGGTTTCAGGACAGAGCTGTAGGGCGAGTAACACCAGTGTGGTATACTGTTGGTCATCATCTAGATACAAATTATTCTTTAAAATGAACATTTTTGGAATGTTATTATGACACCCTAAAATTCGGGAGTCATTTTTTAATCCATTGATCACTTATTAACACGTAAAAATACCTGTGAATATCGTATAACCCGATACCACGTTATGACACCCTATCCATCGAGATCGTAACTAAAATAATAATTTGGACAGAGTCTCCTTTGTACGAGAGCTCTACTTAATATGTAACTTGTGCATACAATAATTACATGAACATTCCAAGGTCTACATCCCAAAATATAGGCTTAAAATTTAATCATTTACATCATTCCAAGAAAAGAGTTCAAGATGTGAAGGTTTAGCAATGTTTCATTTAAAGTTTTAATTTTTGGGAAGAGGTACCTCTACTTCGGATAAGTGGTACTGGTACTTGAGCCCTCTGTTTGCCGGGTACCACTACCTATAAATATTTGTATTAGTACCTAAGCCCACTGTCTATGGGGTACCGATATCTATGGGCATAGATACTAGTACTTGAGATCGTTCAAGATGTGAATGCTTGACAATGTTTCATTTAAAATTTTAATTTTTGGGGACAGGTAAGTGATTAAAATTTAAGCCTATACCTTGGGATATAGATTTTGGAATGTTATATGATTATTGTATGCACAGATTACGTAATAGATAGAGGTTACGTATTGGATAGAACTTTCGTATAAAGGAGACTCTGTCCAAATTCTGTTTTGGTTATGATTCCAGTGGATGAGGTTTAACGACGTGATCAACAAGTTGAAGATCCTAGATTTTGGGACATCATAGCTTAGTATTTAGAGCATGTTATAGTTATGACATGAGAATGTATGTTTCATTGATTCATGAATGCAGAGAGAAACATGTAGCTCTTACATTTGACTTATCTTTATTTGATTCGGATTGTTTGAGGCAGACTTGTGTGATGAGTGCAGGTACAACATGGTGCTACAAGGTCTTGTGAGCAAGCAAATTTTCTCTTTCTGGCTAAATCGAGATCCAAAGTCACCGACTGGTGGTGAGATTATCTTTGGAGGTGTTGATTGGACTCACTTCAGGGGTGATCATATTTTTGTCCCAGTCACTCGAAATGGTTACTGGCAGGTGTATAAATTTTGCAAAGTTTGTTCATAAAATAAATATCTAGTTTACTTCGCTTCTGAGTTGGTTAGAACATTTGATCTTAAATTCTTCGAACTTTCAGATTGAGGTGGGTGATATTCTTATTGCAAACAATTCGACAGGTGATGTCCCTGTATCTTTGATTCACAGTGTTTGTCGTCTTCTCCATAACATTTAGTTTCGATGAATTTTATTTTGACAGAGGTGAGTTTGAGGAATAAATGCAAATGACAAGGGTCCTTCGTATCAAGAACACTATTTCTTGCTGGCTTAGGAACATCCCAGGCATTCACTTTTTGATTTGGAGATACTAAGAGTCCTTTTCTGGAAGCCTAAATGGTGAAAGGATGATACGAAGGACTTCTTCATATTTGTAGATTTTTTTTTTTTGTAGCATGTCCTCCTAATCAGTCTTGTTTCACTTTGCGCCAAAACAATAATGTCTGCAAAGTCCAATAGTCAAAGAAAAATGCATTTCTCAATTGATAATATTGAAGTTGAATCCCCGAACCTAGTCATCCTACAGAGATCTCACAAACACATAATTCCGAATTTATTTTCAGGTCTTTGTGAGGGAGGGTGTGCTGCCATTGTGGATTCCGGGACATCCTTTCTTGCTGGTCCAACTGTATGCATTGGCACCATACTACTATTTAAATTTTCCCTATTTCTTAAGTCTTATTATTTTTCTTATGCATATATGCTAGCTCTATTTCAGACTATTGTGGCTCAAATTAACCATGCCATTGGAGCAGATGGCATTGTCAGCATCGAATGTAAAAATGCTGTTACTACTTACGGGGATTCAATATGGGCATTCTTAATATCAGGGGTCTGCTTTGTTTCCTTCTCTTTTTTCACGTATTGTGACAATCTTAGTTTTATCATATTTCCTTTCAAGGTTGATAAGTTGTGTCTCTTAGCTTTTGCTTCCCCTGCTTGCAGTTACAACCCGAAAAAGTATGTTTTGAGGTTGGACTCTGTTTGTATGATGAATCTCAAGCAATAAGGTTAGATTCTCTTCCTATCTTATTTTTAACCTTGTCTCTGTGAGAATAATTTGCTCCATGTTTTACTCTCAACTGCTAACAGAAACTAAATTCTGAATCTGTTGTACAGATCCAGTATTAAGATGGTGGGCAGAAGTCAAAAAAGAAGTGAGAGTGCTGTGTGTACGTTATGCGAGATGATAGTTTTCTGGATCCAAGTGGAGCTTAAAAAACAGAAAACTAAGGAAAAAGTTCTTAAATATGTTGACGAGGTGAGTTTTTCTTCATAACAATACAACAAACTCATCGAATACGAGCTGTCTAAAGAATTCTGTTTTATGTTGAAGCTGTGTGAGAAGCTTCCCAATCCTGGAGGAAAGTCATTTATCAATTGTGATAACATCGCTACCATGCCATTTGTTTCTTTCACCATCGGGGATAAATCTTTTCCCCTCTCTCCAGAACAGGTGTGTTTTAAGTCATAATTATAACTTTCTTTCTTCAGAATTGTACTGTAATATAATCTGTTTAGAGAAGCAACCATGAGATGAGATGACATCATAGACTTCCAGAGACCTAAGCAGACAAGATTTAATACTAGCATAACTAGGATGATCTCATCTGCCACTTGTTGCCAATTAAACCTACCCACTTATCAAGCCAGATGGCTCTGTCATTCTGTAGCATAAAATTGTTGTTCCTTCCTTCAATAATAAAATCTGTTTTTGCTTTGTGCAATCCTTGTTGTGATCAAATTATAAACTTTTGTTTCTTCTATCTTTCAATTTTACATTAGTACACTATCAGAGTAGAAGGAAAATGTTCAACCGTCTGTCTTAGCGGGTTTACTGCTCTGGATGTCCCTTCCCCACAAGGGTCCCTCTGGTATGTATTTGAGTTTATTGCAACGATCTATTAGTACTAGTGCGTGCACCTATTCAGTTTCTCTTCTATGTGCGCGTCTGTCCAATACAATGTGAATTTCTTAGTGCGTTTTGGACACAATCATTTCCAGCTACACTAACAAATTCATATGTACGACATGCGATTACATGTATACAGGGTTCTTGGAAATATTTTCATGGGAGCATACCACACGGTATTCGACTTTGGTAATCTACGAGTGGGATTTGCACAAAGTGCCTAGTACTGTACCATTTTTCATAGTGATTAGATTGTAAAGGGATGATAATTTCTGGCTTCACCTAGTCACTCAATGGTGCTTATGTAAAGTTTATTTTGCTAGGTATTTCTATTTTCATTTTCATTTTCTTTTTCCCATTTAGGGTTGATGTGAAGGTAGGCAATGCATCTATATGAATAAAAAAAAAAAGCCATCCTGTACCTGATCTGTACACTTTTTTGCTTGTCAATCTAATATCCTAGTTAGCTCAAGGTTGAAAACCACCATAACAACAGTGGCGATACGCACTATAATAATGTCAATATTAATAATGTTAATAATAATGTTAAGGTGCATCCACAGGATTACCCACTGTGTGATTATATTGGCGATCCACTACAAATAATTAATCATGAGTGATTAAGGGATTATGAGTGGTTCATGTGCAAAAAATATGAGTACTATAGACATTTTAGAGCAATATAATTATTAAATTAATTGTACGTTCTAATGTTAGATGAGTCCCATTTTTATTTGATCTCTAAATTAAGTTCAAATAATAATGAAGCCAATTTTCAGGCACAAATGAACAATTGTTACCAAACAACAAAAATGAAATAACATCAAGAGAAATCAATACATTTGAAATTTTGCTTTTGTTTTCTCAAAGACCTGTTCTGCAATGACAGCTCCGCTCCCATCTGCCCTTTTAATTTCCAAGTGAGCTTTTTGATAGAAGCTAGTACCCCTCAGTGCATCAGCAATGAAATCGTCAAATCCAATAGCTATGGCTGCCTCAGCCTTCGCTCCATAAACCAACCTCTGTTTGGCATGCACAGTAACATATTAAGCAATAAGATGTTAAGCCTAACACTCAAAATAAGTTATTGACCCATCAAAATCTTCCATCCTAACACGCAAATGACAGCAGAGAAAAGAAAGATGATAGTAGCGTAACCTTAATTCGAGAAAGGTGAATAGCACCAAAGCACATGGGGCAAGGCTCACAAGAGGCATATATTTCACAGTCTGAAAGCTCTACTTGATTAAGCTGTTTGCAGGCCTGATGAAGAAATCACGGGCAAGAAGAGTAAGGATCATAAGATTTCCAAAAGTACCAGTAGTCCAGATTGCCAACACCGGATGCTAAACTTATAGCAAATCAATCCAAACATGGTTTCAATCAATGCAAAAAATAGTCTTTAACATAGAAACATGTAAACATTCAGTAGTGCATTCTCTCTCTCTCTCTATGTTTTTCCATTCCTTCACTGTAACCCTTGATGTATTTTTGCGTCATCTAAAATGAGAGATCCATTGCCATAGGATGTGATTATATACATTGTCATAACTCTCCAGTTCTCAAGCAGTTCAAATTGAGTGATTAGATATGAGCATCGTATGGAACGATAAAATTTTGGGATAAAATATAAAATAATTTATTGTAAGAGTGTATTGGGTATATCCAAGGATCAAAATATCGTTTTGAAACAGTCGAAACGTCCGAAACGATTTTGTTTTAAGGAGACCGAAACAAACATTGATAGAATCGAAATTCTGATATTTCGAGGTATTCCATAATGTTTCTAGATGTATTATAATATTTCAATGCATTTGCACAATTGTTTTGGAATGTTTCAAGATATCTCAAGATACTTTTATACATTTCCATCAATGTTTTAGAAAAATAATTCTTAAATTTTTTATTATGTTTTCGAAACAGGTCAAAATGTTTCTGTTTTCTAGGTGATCGAAACGATATTTTAATCCCTGGGTATATCATGTCTTTTTAAATTTTTTTATTTGACAGTTACTGATTATTTAAAGTTAGGCCTATTTTTATTTGTGCTGCCTGTATATGTAGGCTCAAATTGTAATGAGACTCAGTTTTTGGCTATTCGAAAATTAGAGACTTTTTCTCCACTCACCCTCTCTTCCCTCCTTTTCCTTCTCCTCTATTGTCCTCATATTCTTATTCCCTCTTCTTCTCTGTTTTTTTCTTCCACTTCTCTCGTCTTTCCTCACTACCCTGTTATTTCTTCCGTCCTTTCTTCACTTTCTCTTCTCTCTCTACCTCTTGCTTCCCCTTGCTCCTCCTCTTCTCTCTCTCTCTCTCCATGTACTTACTCCTTATCACCATATCTCAGCTCTCATTAACTGAAATATGCTTTCCTGTCCTGACTGAGTTCTCAGACATCAGCACGAGACTTACCAGCCAACCAGTAGTCCCAAAGGAACTAGAACCATCTTGGTGTCAACACTAAAGTTTCTTTTCCAAAATACGTACTTTCCAAGGTTTATTTTATTAATAATCAGATTGAATTCCATCATAATTGCTACAACTACGATTTGCAGTACATAGCACAAATGATACATGTTGAAATTGGTAGAGCATCCAACCCAAAACTAATTGACAATGAGTGGAGAGACCCCTAAGAATATAAACCAACCTCAAGTGGTCCTAATCATTCAATGTGGGATATAAGATCTCCTTACACCTGCCTCACATAAGCCTTGGTCTCACATGTAGGGCTAACAAACAAAAGATAAATATGCAGAAATTCAAATGGGTAAAAGATTTGGCCCACCGACCACCTAAGGCCTGCTCTGATACCATATTAGATACACAGGTACACAGAAAATAGTCCACATGATGAAACTAGTAAAATCAGTGGCAACAGAAAAAGCAAATCAAGAGCTGCAAGGACCTCTTAATCATATGCTTCTTAACAGAATATATTGGACAAAAACACTGCTTACAGTTAAAGAGCACATGACCGGAATAGTTGAACTTTCAAACTTCTACTTGCATACCCTTTGTGATCCAAGAATCATACATAAACTGATGGAGACAAGTGGCAGCAAGCTTATAAAGTTTATAAAAGGCGCGGACACATGCTTCCAAGGCTTGAGACTACATGAACTCACAGGCAGCATAGCTGTTTAGCATTCCATGGATAATGCATGAATCTCTTTTTCCACATTTGACTAGAACACTAGAACTCTTATATTTCAATTGGGCAGAAAAAGTGAGAGATTTGACTATTACACCGGGCCAGTGAGGTCAAATTCTTTTGCAGTAAATCAAGTGAAAATTGGAGGATGAGAAAAAGACTTACTTATTTCCCTTTATTTACGGAGGTCATGGGCAGGAAATTGTTTCATGCAAAGTTAGCTATTGTAAGGGATGAAACCCTCCACTCAGGATTTCGGCTTGACCTCCGCGCGTTCGTGAGTAGCCTTTACCCCTCTTCCTGAGCCGGAGCCCTGGCCTAACCTAATGTGGGGAGGGCGCACCGTATCCCACATCGGAAGAGAGTCGTCTTCCCCCCTCGCATATAAGCCCTTGCACTCAAAGGAGGAGGACCCACTAGTACCTGATCAGGTGCCTAGTGGGTACCTCCTCCTTTGAGTGCAAGGGCTTATATGCGAGGGGGGAAGACGACTCTCTTCCGATGTGGGATACGGTGCGCCCTCCCCACATTAGGTTAGGCCAGGGCTCCGGCTCAGGAAGAG